AATGTTCCTAGCCTCAGACCTGCTGTTGTGGCCACTGTATTTATATGGCTAGTCCAGTTTTTTTTCCTGATGGTATCCCCAGGAGGTTGATAGTGGGAGATTCAGTGATGGTAATAATATTGAATGTCAAGAGGTGATGGTTAGGTTGTCACTTATTGGAGATGGTCATCGAATATTATTTGCCATGTTTTGGCCCAAGCCTGGATATTGTTCACGTCTTGCTGCATTTGGACCTCACATCTATGCCTGTGAAGCAACACGTCGTGAAGGCCAATTAAGTAATCCAGAGTTTTGTTATTTTCTTTTATTTATCCCTTAACTGTTTTTTGTTTGTTTGTGTGAATAGAACCAAAAACAAATGTTTTGGGTTCAAAGCATTGACATTTAATTGGATTACTGTGTTTTTAAAATTTTCTTTCTGCCAAAGTTATTGCACATTTAATAAGTAGTGAAGTCTTCTCTAAGGTAAAAACCAGTGTCTAGAAATTAATTATTCGACAAGTCTGGGATTGGTTATTCAAACATCTGCTTAGGAACCATTGGAGGTCTTTGTATTCGCAACACAGTAAACTTAAAACAGAGGTAGAAAGGCTGATTTGGTTTGGCTGTCTGACTCATGTCATAACACTTAATCTATCTGTATCCCTTTGCAGACACTCCTCACAAATTGCTTTTCTGTCTATCTATACATCATCAGCAAATCTGGCTATATTTCATTTTAGTTCCTTCATCCAAGTCATAAACATAGATAATAGTTAATTGAGCACCAAAACTGATCTGGTGATACTAATCTGTTAGAAGTTGCCAATCTGAAAATGAACTTCTGTTCAATTCCCTATTTTTAATAACAGGAGAGAAAATGCTTGGGAAACTCAGCAGGTCTGTCAGAATTTGTGGAGAGTGAAACAGAGTTAATGTTTCAAATTTGATAACTCTTCTGCAGTTTCTCTCCACAGATGCTGCGTGATCTGCTCCCTTTCTCCAGCATTCTTTTTTTTTATTTTAGATTACCAGCATTTGCAGAAACTTGCTTCTTTTTCCTTTTAGCCTGTATCCAATCCATCCTGATATATCACCTCCAACACGAGCCCTTATTTTCTGGAGTAACCTATATGCAGCACCTTTTAGAATGCATTTTAAGAATGCAAATGCATTACATCTGCTTCTCCTTTATCTACCCTGCTTTTTGTAGTGTCAAAAAAGTCTAATGAATTCATAAAAATATGATTTTCCCTTCATAAAATCATATTGAATGTATTATGATTTTTTTTTCCTTAGTGATGGATTCTAGCATTTTCCAGTGATAGGTGTCAGAGCATCTAGGCTAAAGATTTCTGTCTTCTACCTTCCTCCTGTTTTGAACAGTGATTTTACAAGCTTTCCAATCCAATGAATAGAGTCCCAACCTGTTTAGCCTTTGGTCATAAATCAATCCCTCCATACCAGGGATCATCCTAGTGAACCTTCTCTGAAATGCCTCCAAAGAAGTGATATCTTTCCTTCAAAAAGGGGACTAAAATCGCTCGCAATACTTCAAATGTGGTCTCCCCAGCACTGTAAACAATTGCAGTAAGAGTTCTCTGTTTGCAAGAGTTATTACTTGCCCCCGGAGCAGCTGGGTCTTGAACACTGCATTACAAGAGACCCCCATTCCCTACACTTATACTCAAACCCCCTTGGGAATGGCAAGCATTCAATTCATTTTCCTGATTACCTGCTGCGGCTGTGTGCTAGCTTTGTGTTTTGTACAGGATTTTGACCCAGTGATGGTAATGGAACAGCAATATATTTCCAAGTAAAGATGGTGAGTGGCTTGGAGGGGGAGTTGCAGATGGTGTTTCCATGAATGTGCTGCCCTTGTCTTTCTAGATTTAATCACAATCAAGATATTTTAAACCTGTCAAAATATTAGTTGTCTTTGGCATCCAATGCAAAGAGCTCATCAAACTTTTTGAGTAACGTTGTTGGTGACATTGTTGCTGACATTGTTGCAAGGATCCTATTCTGGATCAAATTTGTGTTTTTGCTTTCAGAATAATCCCTTCACAGCAAATCATCATACTTTCCCTTCACAAATTTGAGTATTCCACATTTTACCATAGTTAGGGACAGAAGGTACCATGAAAAACGCATGTAATGGCCTTTCTGAAGCCATGACCTTTCCCATCTCTGGATATTTGAACGCCTGACTCTGAAGTCTTATGCACTTGAAACATGACTTTCTAACTTTTACACTTAATGCCCCAAGCAGTAAAGGCAAGCATGCTGCATGTCTTCTTTACCACCTCATTGACTTGTGTAGCCACTTTCAGGGAGCTATGGACTTGAACGCCAAGATCCCACTCTATATCAATGCTCCAATGTTCCTAAGGGTCTGGCATTTGGACACAATGATTTGACATTCAACTTAATAAATACTTACACATGGTTTTGCCACTGACTGATGAAGAACTGCTGGAAACTGGTAATTTTGACATTGACATATCTCTGTAGTCTCCGAGTGATCTTGATCTGTCAGAGCAGAAGACTGTTTTGTTGTCTGAAGCACCTACAGCAACTAGCTGTTGGTCTGGAATCTTTGCTACTCTTGGTTTGATTTGACAGCGGATTTAATCTAAGGTATCATCTATACTCACACCAGCATTTCACTGACATTAAATTTCCTTGCTGCAGCATTTTTTGGATGAGTTGTCAAATGTTATGATTTGTAATAAAAACTGGAAGAACTGCGGATGCTGTAAATCAGGAACAAAAACAAAGTTGCTGGAAAAGCTCAGCAGGTCTGGCAGCATCTGTGAAGGAAAAAAACAGAATTAATATTTCGGGTTTGGTGACTCTTCCTCAGAACTGATGGTGGCTGGGAAAATGTCAGTTTATATGCAGAAAATAGGGAGGTGGATGGGGTAGGGAGTAAACGATAGCATAGAGCCCAAAGAGAAGAAAGCCAGTTGGACAGACAAAGGAGTTGCTGATGATCAGGCTGGGAGGGTGAATAGTTGTTACTGGGAACGGTCAGTGACTAACAACAGGGGGCGTGTAATGGCAGGCTATGTGGCAATCTAATGGCTTAATGTTTCTCTTCCTCGTTGTAAGCACCTAAAATATAAACCAACTTTCTTTAAAACATTAACAGGCTTTGCAGTCATCTACATTGTGATATAGTTTAACATCCAAACTCTTCAAAACAAATGTATTTTTTTTTATCGCAGTATTATTAGTTGTATATGTGTAGTTGTTGTCTGGCATGATGTCTTCAGTATCTGATTCATCATTCTGTGTGAAGGGTGATGACTCATTCAGTCCAGAAATGTCATCTGTTTCTTCACAGAACTTGACCATTGCTCATTACAATGTTTGTGCTCAGTGTAGGCCACGTATAATGTTTCTTTCCATGAACTCGTGCTTGTGCAAAAATCCAAGAACTTGTTTGCTTCAAGTTGGGATAACTATTTGAGGGTAAGTGAACTCAGTTGATTGGGTAGCTGGTTTGCAACGTAGAGGCATACCAATAATGTGGGTTCAGTTCTCGTACTGGCTGAGGTAACCTTGAAGGCCCTGACTTCTCAACCTTGCCGTTCTGAGGCACAAAGACCCTCACATTAAACTCATCACCAGTAGCCCCTCTCTAATGAGAGAACAGTCTTGGTCCCCTGGGACAATGGTGATTTTTTTTTTAAAACTTGAATCATGCAGTTGTATCACTTTCTCCCTGCTTTTCAACAATGCGCATACACATGTGGCTGAGGTGTGTGTGTGTGCGTGCGCGCACGTAGGGAAGAACTGTATAGATCTCTCTTCCAAATATGAGAGCTGCCAGTGAGGGTAAACTGCTGCCCGTAGGTATAATATAGCTATATGAAGATCTTAGCAAGCTGTTTTACATTTAATGATTGTGGATTTTACACCATGAATAGTACATTGTCCAAGATCATTTGACCGAGGATAGTGAAGAGAGGAGGTAATATTTTAATCAACCCATTTCCTATACGTGTCATGGGAAGATGCACTAATGTGTGGTGCACTGTTGTTGGACACAATTTGGTGAGGTACACTGAAAATAGTAATTATGGCAGTCAACACGTTAACAATTGTTGCAGTAGTGTTTTCTTTGATTTGTTGTAGATATGGGTGAAATTGTAAAATATTCAATCACTAGAATGTAATTATGTCCTTGTACATGGAAAATAAAGGCCACAATCTTGCATTGTAGGTCAGAATGAATCTTGTGTAAAAAAGAGTCTTTTTTGATTATTCAAGCTGATGGAATTGATATTTTTCACATAATTTGTAAAGTTGATTAATGTCTTTATTAATATTGGGGCAATATATGGATTCATGTGTCCATCTTGGTTTTGTTCTGTGCACCTGTGACCTATGTGTACTGATAGAACCCTTGCTGATTTTTCATTATTTTCATTTTTTTCTTTCATAAATTTTGTTTTGGAGCTGAAGATGACCTGTGGACTTTGAAACAGCTTGTGGTAAAATGAAAAGAACAGATGTCTTGGTTTTATTTCACATTTCCTGATACTGCAGTAATTTTGGTCCCAGTACTAATTTCTGTTAAACTGAACCAATGAAACTGCTGAGTGGAGTGTTAACTGTTGTTGGATTCTGAGAGAACTGTTTCTCCCTTAGTTGTTTCATTATATTTCATGCTTGACTATATATTATCAGTAGTTTGTCATTTGCAGAATTGCATGCTGTGGGTGATTATAGTTATCTGATTTTTGTATTTGTTATTACGTTTTAATTACAATTTTTAATGTAATCATAACAGAGTAATTTTATGTCTGCCCTTAATTTGAGTTGGTGGAAAAGAAGTAAAGAAAGAGAAAGGGAAGTGTTTATTTTGTTTTTGTTGATTTTAACGTAGAGTTCTGATGCTTGGAGTTGTTCCATAGTCAAAGGAATTGATTGATGCTTGGTTATAAATGGCTCCTGTAATTGTTTGCTAATAGTTACATAGTTTTCCAATCTTCACTAGACACAGGTGAGGTGCCAGAGGACTGGAGAAATGCAAATATGATTTCGTTGTTTAAAAAGGATACAAAAGAAATGCCAAACCATAATAGGTAAGTTAGTCTTACCTCAGTACTGGGCAAATTGTTAGAATCAATTCTGAGGGATCGAATAAACTGTCACTTAGGAAGGCATAGACCAGTCAGGGATAGTTAGCATAGCTTTATTAAGAGAAGCTCATGACTTACAAATTTGATTGAATACTTTGAGGAATTGACAAGGAGGATCAATGAGGGTACTGCAGTAGATGTTGTCTATATGGATTTTTAGTAAGCCATTTGATAAGGTATCACATGGCGGACTGGTCAAAAAAGTAAAAGCCATGAGATATAGGATAATGTATTGAACTGGATCCGAAGTTGGCTCGGTAACAGGAAACAAAGGATCATGGTCGAGATAGTAAGAACTGTCGATGCTGGAGTCAGAGATAACACAGTGTGGAGCTGGAGGAACGCAGCAGGCCCGACCCGAAACATCAGCTTTCCTTCACCTTTGATGCTGCCTGGCCTGCTGAGTTCCTCCAGCTCCACACTGTGATAATGGTCGATAGCTGTCCCTTCAAATGCAAAGCTGTTTCAAGTGGTGTTCCGTTGGGCTTAGTGTTGAAACCCCTGCTGTTTGTTTTATGCATTAATAATTTGGACTTGAATGTGGGGTCAGAATTAGGAAATTTGCAGATGACAACAAAAAAATTGGCCATGCAGTGGATAGTGTAAAGGATAGCTGAAAGATTCAAAATTATATAGATAAGTTGGTAGAGTGACAGATGAGTGCAACTCTAAGTGTGAGGTAATGCATTTAGGGAGGTCAAATGGTAAACGGAAATGCGCAATAAATAGGAATACAGCGAGAGGGGTAGATGAAGTGAGAGATCTTGGCGTGCAAATGCACAAGTCCCAAAAGGTAGCAGTGCAGGTCGATAAGGTTTTAAATAAGGCATTTGAAATGCTGTCTTTCATTGACCGATATATAAAATAGAAAAGTAGAGATATAATGAAACCGTATAAGACGCTGGTGCGGCCACAGCTGGAGTATTGTATGCAGTTCTGGTCATTACATTACAGGAAGGATATACTTTCTCTGGCAAGAGTGCAGAGAAGATTTACTAGAATGTTGTCAGGGCTGGAGAATTATAGCAACGGTGAAAGATTGAGAGGTCGGGGTTGTTCTCCTTGGAACAGAGAAGACTGAAGGGCAACATGATCGAGGTATACAAAATTGTTGGGGTAGAGACATGATGAATCTGTTTCTCTTGGCAGATTGTTCAAAAACCAGGGGTCATAGATTCAAACTTAGAAGGATTGGAGGAGATGTGAGCTGATCTGGAATTTGCTGCCTGAGTTGGTGGTGGAGGCAGAGATCCTAAACTCCTTTCATAAAGTATCTGAATTTGCACCTTAAGTGCTGTGAGTTGACTGCCATGGCCCAAGGGCAGGAAGATGGACCTCTGAGTGTCTTTGGGTCAGCATGGGCAAAATGGACTGAATGGTTCCCTTGTGTGCTATATCATTTCAGTGATTCTGTGGTTTGTAACTGTAGTAGTCTTGTATGCAGAATGAGCTGATGTTAGTTGTGAATGTTTAGAGGAGCTTAATTTGAATGAACTATTGGCTAAAACATGATTTTTACTGGGTTTCAGTTTTCAGACCTGTTGAGCTTCCAGCAACTTCTGTTTTTGTTGTCAGTGTATTTATGTATGTATTCAACTATTGAATGAAGTTTTCATGTTATGAATTGTAATCTTACTAAATTTAAACAGATAAATGACAAAAAAGGCATGAAAAACACTTTTGATATCCTCACAATGTAATGAAGTCTTTCAGAGTAAGGAAGTTACTTTCGAAGTATAATTAATGTGCAGACAAACAAATAATTCAAACGGATTAAGATTGCATAAAATTAGCATTCAAGTGCAGCAAGTAATAGGGAAGGGAAATGGAATGTTGACCTTCATTTCAAAGGGAATGTTGTATAAGAATGAGGAGGTCTTGCTTAAATTATTCTGGCTAGAGAAGGTTTATTAGGTTGATCCCAGAATGGAGGACTTACAGGGAGAGGTTGACCAGGACTTTGTACTCATTGGGGTTTAGAAGAATGAGAGGAAACCATGTTGAAACACAACATTCTTAAGGGGCTTGATAGGGCAAATGCTAAAAGGTTGTTTCCCTTGTGAGAGAGGCGAGGACCAAAGGGCATGATCTCAGACTAAGGGGTCACCTATTTAAGACAGAAATGTAGGAGATGCTTCTTCTCTCTGAACCTGTGTAAGTCTTCTAAAGGCTGTTTTGCTAATTCTATTGAACACAAGAACACAAGAACTAGGAGCAGGAGTAGGCCGTCTGGCCCTTCGAGCCTGCTCCGCCATTCAGTAAGATCATGGCTGATCCTTTCGTGGACTCAGATCCACTTACCCGCGTTCTCACCGTATCCCTTAATTCCTTTATTGTTCAAAAAAAATCTACCTTTTTTTTAAAAGCGTTTACTGAAGTAGCGTCAACTACTTCACTGGGTGAGGAATTCCATAGATTAACAACCCTCTGGGTGAAGAAATTCCTTCTCAGTTCAGTCCTAAATCTGCTCCCTCTAATCTTGAGGCTATGCCCTCTTGTCCTAGCTTCACCCGCTAGTGGAAACATCCTCTCTACTTCTATCTTGTCTATTCCCTTCATAATTTTATATGTTTCTATAAGATCCCCCCTCAATCTTCTGAATTCCAATGAATATAATCCCAATCTACTCAGTCTCTCCTCATAAGCCAACCCCCTCAACTCCGGAATCAACCTAGTGAACCTCCTTTGCACCCCCTCCAGTGCCAGTACATCCTTTCTCAAGTAAGGAGACCAAAACTGCACACAGTACTCCAGGTGTGGCCTCACCAGCACCTTGTACAGCTGCAACATAACCTCTCTGCTTTTAATTTCAATCCCTTTAGCAATGAAGGACAAAATTCCATTTGCCTTCCTAATTACTTGTTGTACCTGCAGACCTACCTTCTGTGATTCATGCACAAGGCCACCCAGGTCCCTCTGCATAGCAGCGTGCTGCAACTTTTTACCATTCAAGTAATAATCCTTTTTACTATTACTCCTACCAAAATGTATGACTTCACATTTATTTACATTGTATTCCATCTGCCAGACCTTTGCCCACTCACTCAATGTATCTATGTTCCTCTGCAAAGTTTCACAGTCCTCTGCACACTTTGCTCTGCCACTCATCTTAGTGTCATCTGCAAACTTTGACACCCTACACGTGGTCCCCAGCTCCAAGTCATCTATATAAATTGTAAATAATTGCGGTCCCAACACTGATCCTTGAGGCACACCACTAGTCACTGACTGCCAGCTAGAATAACACTCATTTATCCCCACTCTTTGCTTCCTGTTAGTCAACCAATCCTCTATCCATGCTAATACTTTACCCTTAATGCCATGCATCCTTATCTTATGCAGTAGCCTCTTGTGTGGCACTTTGTCAAAGGCCTTTTGGAAATCTAGGTACACCACACCCACTGGGTCCCCATTGTCCACCTCGCTCATAATGTCTTCATAGAATTCCAAAAGATTTGTCAAGCATGACCTGCCCTTCATGAACCCATGCTGCGTCTGCCCAACGGGACAATTTCTATCAAGATGCCTTGCTATTTCTTCTTTGATAATAGACTCAAGCATCTTCCCCACTACAGAGGTTAAGCTAACTGGTCTATAATTCCCCATCTTTTGTCTACTTCCCTTTTTAAACAGTGGCATCACATTTGCTGTTTTCCGATCTGCTGGGACTGCCCCAGAGTCCAGCGAATTTTGGAAAATTACCGCCAGTGCACCTGCTATTTCTCCCGCCATCTCTTTTAGTACCCTGGGATGCATTCCATCAGGGCCAGGAGACTTATCAATCCTTAGCTCCATTAGCTTGCCCAACACTACCTCTTCCGTAATTGATTGTTTCCAGGTCCTCACCTACCTTCGTCTCTTTGTCTATTACTGGCATGTTATTAGTGTCCTCCACTGTGAAGACCGATACAAAATACCTGTTCAATGCCTCGGCCATTTCATCATATCCCATAACTAAATTCCCCTTCTCATGCTCTAAAGGGCCAACGTTTACTTTAGCCACTCTTTTTCGTTTTATATATTTATAGAAACTTTTCCTATCTGTCTTTATATTCTGTGCTAGTTTTTTCTCATGTTCTATCTTACTTTTCCTTATAGCTCTTTTTGTGGCTTTCTGTTGACCTTTAAAGTTTTCCCAATCTTCTCGTTTCATGCTGTTTTTGGCCACTTTGTATGCCTTCTCTTTCAATTTGATAGCCTCCCTTATTTCTTTAGACACCCATGGCAGATTACCCCTTTTCTTACAGTCCTTCCTTTTCATTGGAATATACTTTTGCTGAGCACTTTGGAAGATTGCTTTGAAAGTCCTCCACTGCTCGTCAACTGTCCCACCATAAAAATCTTTGTATCCAGTTTACATTAGCCAAGTCCTCCCTCATTCTATTGTAGTTCCCCTTGTTCAAGCACAGGACCCTTGTATTGGATTTTAGCTTCACACTCTCCATCTGTATTCTAAATTCAACCATACTGTGATCACTCCTTCCAACAGGATCCCTAACTATGAGGTCATTAATTATTCCTGTCTCATTACACAGAACCAGGTCTAGGATAGCTTGTTCCCGCGTTGGTTCCATTACATACTGTTCAAGAAAACTATCACGCATACACTCAATGAACTCCTCCTCAAGGCTACCCTGACCGAGCTGGTTCGACCAATCTACATGTAGGTTAAAATCCCCCATGATAATTGCCGTACCATTTTTACAGGCATTAGTTATTTCTTTGTTTATTGCCCGCCCCAATGTGATGTTATTATTTGGTGGCCTATAGACTATGCCTATCAGTGACTTTTTCCTCTTAGAATTTCTAATTTCCACCCAAATGGATTCAACCTCATTCTCCATAGAACCTATATCATCTCTCAGCACCGCCCTGATGGCGTCCTTGAATATCAGGGCTACACCACCTCCCTTACCTTCCTGTCTGTCCTTCCGAATAGTCTG